CTCCATAACCCACCGAAGTCAGGGGAAACCAAATTCTGATTCTCTCTATTTCTCTCTCTCTCTCTCTCTCTCTCTCTCTTCCTCTCTCTCTTCTCTCTCTCTCTCTCTCTCTCTCTCTTCTCTCTCTCTCTCTCTTTCTCTCTCTTTTCTCTCTCTCTCTCTCTCTCTCTCTCTCTCTCTCTCTCTTCTCTCTCTCTCTCTCTCTCTCTCTCTCTCTCTCTTTCTCTCTCTCTCTCTATCGTTTCTCGGTCTCATTTTATTGTATGTGTGTCTGTGGCGTGCGTTGTGTGATCGCATTAAAATGTGTATGCCGTATGTGTGTGTTGTGTGAGTGTATGGTGTACGTATAAATGTGGCGTGTGTGTGTGTATATGTGGTGTGTGCGTATAAATGTGCGCGTGTTTTTATGTGTGTATGTCTGTATGCATGGATATATGTACAGAAAGAAAAAAACAGCTGAGAAGAAAAAGAAGAAGACAAACAGACAGACAGACAGACGTCGCTGAAGAAATCTAAAATCGACCCGGCGCCGGAAGCCACTCCGGACTCGGCATAAACAGGTTTACTCGCATTATTACCGTTTTCTGTGTAAACTATTTCCAAAAACTTCCCCCTCGCAACTTCAAGCCATAACTCGACAACTTTCGTAATTTCTGTCCTGAAAGCTGAACAAAAGTTACTGCTCTCTAAAACTGCCTTGCGATTCGCTGGACGGGGGGGGGGGGACCCTCCGGGAATTATTCCGTTTCTCTTGCGCCCCCTCTTTGTGTTTGGGGTTTCTCGTGTTTGCTTGTTTGTCTTTGCTCTTCTCATTCTCTGTCTTTGGTGGCCTGTCTCTCTGTCTGTCTGTCTGTCTGTCTCTCTCTCTCTCTTCTCTCTCTCTCTCTCTCTCTCTCTCTCTCTCTCCTCTCTCTCTCTCCTCTCTCTCTCTATCTATCTATCTATCTTTCTCTCTCTTTCTCTCTCTCCTCTCGTCTCTCTCTCTCTCTCTTCTCTCTCCTCAGTCATCATCCTGTCACCATAGTGTGCAGACGTGCTGTGTGACCTCTTGTGACCTTGACCTGTCCGTACGGGATTTGTGTTACCTTGACTATTAGTCTTCATAGACCTGCCAGCTGTGGATTGCTGCAGTGCGCGAATAATGTTCACTTGATCATTTTATCTGAATCTTTAAAGTGAATCTAAATATCATATTTAGTGAAGTAAAATAAGTGAAAAAACTACGTTACGGACACAGATGTGCCTTGTGGGCGCGGCCGTAAGCGGCCCGTGTGTGCACCTGGGTTTGCACAGGGAGGTAGGTCGGGCCCTGTTTCTTCAGGAAATGACCCCGACTCAACCGAAACAATGACAGACACGCCCATGGAAACGAGCGGTAGATATGGTGTCCTCCGTGAGGAAGATATCAGTGGGGCCTCCCCCAGGAACCAATAAAGAAAAAAGCAAAAGACTACTACCTGACTCTGTAGAAATTACGCCCCCTGGACCCTTGTGCGCACATTCAAAGCCACACAAAGCTTTTCGGACACACGGGGATAAGTATCGCTGGGTATCCCAGGCTTTAAAATTGGACCCATACACAAGACAAAGGGGTCATTGAACTTAAGATTGGAGGAACAATGTGTATGTGAGATGTAAAAATGAATAACAAAATTCTTTGCCCACATAACCACTGCCGGTTGCAGGTGGTGAAATTTTAGAAAAGGCGAAAGTGTTATGGAAAAGGGAAGTGCACAAATGTTATTGTGTTCGACGTCCCAGAGAAATTTGAAACAGATGAATGACGTCTTACAAATAACGCGTCGTACATGCCAAACGCATGAAGATAAATGGATTGATGACCCAGAGAGTCATCATCACATATGAGGGGAGGTAATCCCCAAAACTATCAAAATGGTGGAGGGCATGCACCCTTTAGATGTGCCATCTTCAAATCTCTGACCCCGTTTTGCTCCCCATTGCTCAAAGTGGGACACGGTGGCACGTGCGTGTCCACGAAGGCACCGCGGTTGCCGATACTGCGCTCTTTCGCATGAAAGCTCAGAGTGCGCAGAGAAAATTTCTGAAGGTAAAATCATCCCTCGGAAAATGTGTGAACTGCCGTCAGGAGCATAATGCAACTCGCCATTATGCGCCTACTTACCGAAAGACAGAAGGACAAACACATGAAAGGAAGCACGCAGCCCCTCCCCCCAATAAACCCCGCCCAGCCCTCGTCTTATGACGGTGCGGGAATTCCCACACCTGCAGAGGTCAACTCTGAAAGGCCTCTGCAAATAAAGCCATGGCACCGGCCACATCACCAGCTGTAGCACCTGCACCAGCTGCAACACCAACGACAGCTGCAGCTTCTACTCCAGTTGCAGCACCCACTCCAGCGCCAGCTGTAGCACCAGCTGCAGCTCCTGCTCCAGTGCCAGCTGCAGCACCGACCGCCATCACCAGCCTCCAGCTCCTCCCTCACCGCAGCAGGAAAAGCAAGATCCAACAGGGAAATTGA